AATGATATGATTTTTTGTTCTTTGATGCCAGATAACTGATCCCTTCGGTACCTCGTGATCACACAGGCTGATGTGTTCTTCCATGTGGGCTTTATTGCTTCTGAGCTACATGGTCGCTTGTTTACCTTCAAGCTTTTAAGACCCCAGGTGCTATATCCTTTGATAGCCGGGCACCATCAGCTTTCTTCACCACTTTTGCTTATTCACCTGCTTTGTCTTCAGTGGTTGTGTAGGGAAGGTGAGCATCATAGAATGCCAATTTAATATTCTTGCATTGAGGGAGTACTTGAGTCTTTTGTGAGAATCTTTCCTTCATAACACAAAAGACATCAAATTCTTATCTTGGCAAGGGCATACTTCAAAATGACTGCTCTATCAATGTTACCTCTGGGGAGAATAAATGGCTAAGTGCTGAGTAATTGTAGTTCAAACTCATCCAAAGGCACCTTGGAAGACAGCTCTGCTTTTGTAGGCTTCCTTCCGGAAAACCCTATGAAACAGTTTTACTCTGTACACATAAGGGTGCCATGAATTGGAATCAGCAGCATCCAAGACACCATACAGGTCCTATCAATGAGTTAAAATGGCCTTGTCAGTTACCAGCAGTCATCAGCTTAAGAACAAGGTCAGTCTCTGTTTCTGGAAAAGTATCTGTAGATCAGGCAGAATAGGTTCTTATTTCAACTTTTATTTTTTTTTAGATTATCAGGATGTTTACATTTAATAATGAAGAATTATGCTCAAGATTTTAATAAAACACCTTCACTTTATATTTTATTTTTCCTGTGAAATCCTCCATTGTTGCCTCCCTTCACTCCCATCCTTCCTCTATCCCTATTTTGCCCTGCCCCCATCTCATCCCTGACCCCTGTGGTCAGCAAAGTCTTGTCTACTGGTGTTCAAACCACACTTCTTCTTCTTTGCTTTTTCTAATAACAATGGTGGTATTAAACATTTATCTTTGTAAGATTGACTGAGTTTGCTAGACATAATGTTCTGTAGTTTTGTCCATATCAGTGTTGTTTAAGAGTCAGCAGTGTTTTTTATTGATGCATAAAACTTTATAGTATAAATGTACCAGAACTTGTTTATCCTTCCTTCGACAGCTGGGGGCTTTGGTTGTTTCCAGGTTTTGCTATTGTAAAAATTCCTGTAATAAATATAGGTATATACATGTCTGTTTCTATTATATTCTTAAATTCTTTAGAGTATCTACTCAGTAGAGAGATAGCTGGATCATAAGGTTTTTGGATTTGCATTTGTTCAAGGAAGTGACATATTGCTTTCCATAATGGTTTTACAATACTGATTTCCATAATGGTTTTACAATTCTACAGTATCACTAGCAAGGTTGAAGTGTTTCTATCTCTCCACATCCTCTGCAGCATTTGTTACTTTTTGTTTTACTGAATTTTACCAAAGGTATCTGTGAGGTAATGTCTCATTATTGTTTTAATTTGCATTTATATTATTGCTAATGATCTAGAACATTTTGTTTGTAGATCAGGCAGAACAGGCACATATAGTTCTTATTTAACCTTTACTCTAGTGCAGTGGTGGGGAATGTTGACGGCAAGCCATATAAGGTCCATGAAATCATCAATACTAGTTAACATCATACACCTCACCCAATAGAAGGAGTTCCATTCATCACGTTAGGGATGAATTAATTAAGTGCTTGACCAGTATGGCCCATGCACGA